CATCCATCCATCCATCCATCCCCCATCCATCCATCATCCATCCTTCTCCACCCATAACCTTCTGGGCCCTCTGGCTTTTTATTCCCTGCAGTGTCATGGGAAGGAGAAGACATCAACTTTCTCCTGAGTGCTGGCGAGTGTCAGAGACCATAATTTCTCCGGGACTGTAAGAAAACATCCCAGAGGAGCGCTGGGGACATGCACAGGGGTGGCATGTGGCCGAGGAGGGGCAGAGGGACTTGCTGTGGGGCTGGACGGGGCTACAAGCGGTGGGTAAGCTCCTGCAATGGTGTCAGTGATAGGCCGGAGCCGTCCCCCTCAGGAGCCTGCCCTAATGACCATACCTCCCCGCGGGGGACCTCTTAGAGGCTGCTTTCTCCACGGGGGCATCTCTGGGGATTAACCCTTTTAATTGGATCAGCAGCCACAGATCAGAAGCCAACATTTCGCGGTTGGTGGCATCGCCTCCCTCGCCCTGCTCCTCCTCCCTGCGTCCGTTTGCCTCTGCAGGAATCACCCCGTTTCCACCCCGAGCCGTGAAGACGGGGTTGATCGGGGGGCAGAGCCGGCGCAGCACCGTGGGACCTTTCATCCCTTGTGACACTGAGTTTGCAGGGCAGGGCTGGGCTTTCTGCGGAGGATTTCAGGGGGCTGCTCCCAGGGTGTGCAGGGATGTTCCCTGGGGACATCCCACGTGCCTCACTGTCACCTCTGCTGCAGCCCGGACCATGTGGTCACCCACCCCGTCGTGGCTGAGACCACCCTGCCCTGCCACACATAGACCCACGTGTCCCTGAGCCCTCACTAATGATTTTATGATTGTGATGATATAGGAATTTTAATGATATGACGATATAATAATTTTAATGTGATATATAGTCTTTACGATATGATGATTTAATCATTTTAACGACTCCCCTTACCCCCAGGTGGCTCAGCACCTCTGTAGTCTTTCTTTACAGCTGGGCCACCTTCCTCACAGCTTCTTAACAGGGTTTATAGCCCTGTCATTGTCCAGTTGTGCTGGTTGTGTCTCATTCCTGATCTGTTTAAGGGTTGGGAACCGAACAAAACCTTGAAATCATGACTGTTTGCACATCTGTGAGCAAGGAGAATCAGCTTGTGGTTGCAGAGATGATGCCCGGTTGGTGAAAGATGGAGCTCTCTGAGACCTCCCTGCATATCCTGGCTGATGTCCCCCCACCTCGGGCTGCCGTCCCCAGGTTTGTCTTGAATGAGCACACAGAGCAGGAGATGGGGTTTCAGCCAGCTCAGACCTTTGCTGATGTGGATAAACCCCGTGAGCAGAAAGCCAGCACCCACTGGTGGCACCACCGAGCCGGAGGAGCAGCACAGGCCTTCATGCTGTCACGTAGAGGTTGCCTCGTGTCTGGAGAGCGGAAGAACTCAGAACAAACACCCCAATGCAGTTTGTATGACACTGAGGGCTTTGGGGCTTCAAATGTCCTGTCCAAGAGAACCTGGCACGGACCCAGGCCCCCGCCGTGGCCTGAGCCAGGAGGAGAGGGGGACGTCAGTGTACCCAGCCCTTGCAAGGAGAAGGGCTCTTGCACGAAGACTGAGGTGGCATCCACAGGTTTTGCCACCCTGCCTGCATCTGCCTTGTCTCTGCCAGCATTTTGTACCTGGGTTAAACGGCTA